CTCTCTCTCTCTCTCTCTCTCTCTCTCTCTAAACTAATTACATGCATTGCCTAAAACCTCTCATCATGAACTCAAGATAAAGTAGGGGCTTGAGACTTGAAAGCATAAGAAAAACTACATTAGGGATTGCTTGGGTGGTGGAGGGGATCCAAGATTGGACCGAAATGCCCCTCCATATTAAAGTAATTTGACAAAAAATTGGGGATTGTCCTTGAATTGCTCGGAATTGAAACTATAGGGACAAAATTGATCAAATTGAAATGACAGTGACCAAAGTGGTAAAAGTGGCAAACTACAAGGACCAAAAATGACTTTTTGCCATTCTAAAATAGCCCCCTTACATTAAAAAGGTATTATGGGGACAACAAAAAGACATTGTATGAAGCAGTAGCTATTATAGAATAAAAATTCTGAAAAGGGCTATTTTAGCAAAAACCCCAATATAATGTGGTGATGATTTGTTCATTAGTTATGAAATCAACCATTTCTTGGCAGCAATGCAGAGCCTGTGGTCGGTTTTTGTTGGAAAGCTGAAAGCAATGCAATACTGGTCAATGTATTCATGATACATAAATACTTGAACAGAAAAGTCATTTCAATATAATGTCCATTTTAGTCATTATACACCACTCACAAAATACCTTATTGCAGTTTACCTTTCCTCAATTAATTGTGTTGATTTCTTATTATACCATTGAATGTTTTTTTTTTTTTCCAAATTAGCGACATTTAATGTTCTTATTTCTTTTATAATCAATTTAGTTTCTCTGTATTCTTTTGGCTTGAAATTTTCGCTTATGGGCCTAAAAGGGAGTGGGCCATTCAGAATGTAAAAGAGAGTTGGAAGATAAAAGGCTTGTTGGGCCTTGGGGAACATTTGTGCTCATAACGAGCAGTCATGAAGAGACCGACTCTTCACGAAGTGTTTGCCTCACCGCGAGAGAGCAAGTAGCAAGACCTACTCAGGTGTGATCCAAAAAAAAAAAAAAAAGACCTACTCAGTTTAGAATAATATTCTTTTTTGGCCTGGTTCCTTTTTGCATATTTTGTGGAGGAATAATTCTAAGCTCTTACCTTCTGCAGGTTAATTATGTTGGAAAAACTGCTAACAGTTACGACACTGGTTATCAGCTTAATGGGAGTGCGTATGTTATCTCCAAATACATTAGAAATACATGGTTGGGGGATCATGTTAGAGTTAATGGTGGGGCATATGGGGGCATAAACGAACATAGGTTTATAACTAAAAGAAAGGAATATTATTGATACATTATGCAAACTTTTTTCCACAAGGTCAAAGATAGAGGTGGAAAGTTTAGAATGAATCTCCAGTTTAAAGTATTATGATGGTTATTGTTATTTTTGGAATAGGACTCAAAGTTTTCATGTGGATAGACGTACACCATGTGGGATGCCTGATCTTTGGAATTGCATTATGTGTTAGGGATTGCTACTTTCAAGAAGAGGAGGAGGTGAAGATGAATATGACCGTCGAAAATGCATATTGCAGATCGATTGAAACTGTGGTTGATTGGATTGGTATTTGGTAGTGAAGTGAACACGAGCAAAACTTATGTCCTTTTTCGAACTTAAGCTCCTGTGCATTTCAGGTTTTCCTTCATATTGTTTGTTTCTCTGTCACGCCATATTTCAGTTTGGTTTGCACTTAAAGGCCCTTTGTGTTTTTCATAACTTTGTATAGGCGTTTATACATTGCATTTTATGACATGTTTTGGTGGACTTGATTTGTTTTAGCAATATAACATGTATAACTGAACACTAGTAAATTGCCTGTAGATGTAACAGAGGCGGGAATTTGGAATTCTGGTGGGGGGTTGTCACATGGAAGCTCTGCCCGACTTTGGTTCATTGCCTGTTTTACCCCACAGTCCTATAGTTATGACCATCTTTGATGTGTTATCGGAGCGATTGAACGAGTCTCATGTTTGGAAGTTGGATTTGCTGAATGTGTGTCCCATCCAAGAAAAGAGGTTGTATCCGAAGACATGGAAAGAGATGTTTTTATGTCAGCAACAGAAGCCCAAGCTCATGTTTATTACATTAGCTAAAACTTATTTGTTCTTGTTCATTCCTATCACAACAAGATGGACTTTACCTGGTGTGCCTACCTGCATCAAGACTGCAGCCACTGGTGTGCCTGATTCATGGAATGAGCTTCTTTATGCACTATTCCTTAAACCTGAATCTCTCAGCACATCTTCCTGACGATAATTATAATAGTGCTCCAATGTACAAAGGGAAAATGAATGGAACATTTTGCTTCCACAATAACCAGCAAAATTCTGACATGAATCGGTCAGTCTATACCCTTGGTTTGTTCAACCATGCTCTGCTCAAGCATTTGAGGGGTTTTACTTAACAAGGGGAAGATTGAAAAGGAGGTGAAATTGTAATTTGACCCTCCGAGTCTTGATGACTGCTATCAATACGCTAACAGGTAAAGTGAAGATGAATTAAGTGGTGATAATTCACAAATGGTTTTGGTTATTTTCACAGAATGTAATCATACAAAAAATGAAAAAGGTTTATAGTCCTTGAGGATATTAGAGCTTGTTCTTGTATCAGGAGACACAATTCAATCATCAATTTTTTGTACTTGTAATATCTTTGAGCCAATAAATGTGTTTGCCTGTCAAGTCATGCATGTGTTTTGCCTTTATCATTTCTTCTTTCTTCATGGAATAAATGTACCAAAAACCAATCAGTGCACTGATATCTTCATGTCCGACAGGCACAAAACCATGAATGCATTCTCCAAAAGGAAAGAAAGGATTGAAATATGAAATTAATTACTATTTACCGGCATAGCTCTCTGCCGATGAAATTTCGTCGGGAGATGTTTTTATATATATATGAACTTAGTATCTTTAGGTCAATAAATTTTTTTTTTAAAATTTCTTTTCAGTAATTAATTTAATTACTTTCATTAGTAATTATTTTCTAACTATTATTTCTCTAGTGAATAATTAGTATTAAATATTTTAATTAACATCATAAATGATATTACTTAATAAATAGTATTTAGTTTTTAAAATTTTTGAATTTAACAAAATTATTAAATACTAATTATTCACTAAGTAAACAATAATTAAAGTAATTAAAAAAGAGAAATTCAGATTATGGTATTTATAAAGTATAGCCGCGCGGCTGTAGTTTTAAAATATTCTATTTGTGGACTATAGCCGCTCGGCTATACTCTTTAAATAAATAAATAAATAAATTGTGCCGCCTAGGCGCTATGCGGGTGCTTTTAAATAAAAGAAATAGTATAGCCGCGCGCCTATACTCTTTAAATATCTAATGGGTGCCTTTTGGTTTTTTAAATTTTTTCTCCCTGATTTTCCTTTGTCGATAAGACTAGTCCAAAGCATTATCCATTACGTTTAGGCCATTACTAAGGTATAGCTATTGTTCCCTTTTGATTTTTTACTTTTCCAGAGTTATTACTCGTATAAAGAATTTAGCATTTTGCCATTTAATACTCGTATTATACACGTACATACGTATTTTTCAATAATACTTTCGTTTTCCGTATATGTCTTAAAGACTCGGTATAATGAAAGCAAACATATAATACACATACGCACGTATTTTAATGATTATTTAATATCAAAGAACAAAAAACAAAGTCCACAAAATAATTCAAAACTACCATTTACCAAGTAATTTACGAAATCAGTAAAATATTTAAATACTCACTAAAGAAATAATAATTAAAACATAATTACTAAATAAAGTAATTAAAAAAAGGCTAAGGTATTACTTAATTACATGTATTCAATTAAAGAAGTTGGAGAACTTTTATTTATTCCAGATAATCAATACAAAATAATAATAGCCCGGAGTGGACTATCCGAAGTCGAGCAACATAGTCAACCCCATGAAGAACATGAAAGTCAGAACATAAGAGAGGCTGCCTGAACCATGCCATACCCATGGCAAAGGATGAGATACATCTACTCATGAAACCCATGCCATACCCAAGGCAAAGGAAAAAGCAATGGAGCCACACACAGGCCAAAGGTGGCTGTGGCCTCCCAATTCTCATGAATTCCATTAAGTTTTTTATATAAAACTTGGAAATCGGTATGAAATTTCATATCTTTTTCAGCTATTGGCCCCCCTAACATTTAGACTGGATTGGGGTTTGCACGGGAATCTTCAAGCCTGACAATGTTAGTGCGGATGATGTTGTTAAGATTGTTGACACATTCCCTGGTCAATCTATTGGTAAGTATAGCTAAAAAGCTTGGTGTTTTGGAATTTCCAACACTTTTCTTGATAAGAATTTTAAGTATAAAGCAGGAAAGGTCTTCAACAATCCATAGAGACTCTTCTGTTGTAGTAGCTTTTGCATATACTTTGGGAATGTGTTGGCCATGCTATTTATATTTCTTGAGTAACTAATCTATTAGAAATGTGATCAGTAAATATGATCCCTATAGTATTACTCGATTAGCGACTTGGTTGAAAATACGATCATGCTAACTTGTTATATGCCACACTGCAGACTTCTTTGGTGCTCTAAGGGCTCGAGTTTACGATGATGAAGTGAGGAAGTGGGTATCAGGTGTTGGGGTAGATGGCATTGGGAAGAAGCTTGTGAACTCAAAAGAAGGTCCCCCAACTTTTGAACAGCCTAAAATGACAGTGGAGAAGCTCCTTCACTATGGTCAAATGCTGGTTCAGGAGCAGGACAATGTGAAGAGAGTTCAACTGGCTGACAAGTACTTGAGTGATGCAGCGCTTGGAGATGCAAACCAGGACTCCATTAAGAGAGGAGAATTCTATGGTTAGCACACTTTGTCTTAACTCAATAACCTTAGAGGCACCAACTTATGTCCCAACTTTTTAAATCTCAAGTGATGTGGCGGAATTTCATTTGTTTAAATTTGGGGCAGATTTTCCTTACCAAATCTGAACTATAGGAGTTTGTTCAAGTTTTCTGTAAATTTTTTGATGCAGGCAGCAAGGCAGCCCAACAAATTAATGTACCTGTCCCTGAAGGCTGTACGGATCCATCAGCTGCAAACTTTGACCCAACAGCAAGGAGTGACAATGGTAGTTGTCAATATGAGTAAATGGGGAGTTGGAAGAAATAATGATATTGCTTGCTTCCTGGTTTCTTATCTTCTCTTGTAATATACACTTGTATTTTATTGGGGATTAATGCTTTGTTTTTATTTAATGATTAAATTAGCTATTAATGCTATATTATTTATTCTCTCTCACCCATTCATCCATGCCACTTGATAAGGCTCGTAGGCTTAATGCCATTGTTTTTTTGTTTTTTTATTTTGATATTGGAAAGGAGGGATCGAACCTAAAACCTCAAGTGCAAGGGTAAACGCTCTTAACTACTAAGCTACAAGCAACTTGCGGCTAAATTCCATTGTTATTATCCTCAGACTTGTTTATCTGCACCCATTATCTAAATTATAGTTTTAGAATCATGAAATATAAAAATCTAACTAGAGCCCACACAACAAACATAAACAGAAAGAGAGGAAAAGGAAGGAAGAGGAGAGGGTGTGATATATATTTTATTTATCTTTTTGCTTTGATTTTTGCGTGGTACAATTGTTCAAATCGAATCATCCAGCCACACAAACAGAAAACAAGTCCTTTGATCTTATGCAGCCAGAAACCAAAACAAGAAGAATTGTAAATTTAAGATTATCAGTTAAATTTTCTCTTCGTCTCTTGTGCCCTATGTGATTGCTGACTTTCAAAAATGTAAATGTAAATTAGTATGGAAGATTGTTCACAGAGCTTCTGTGAAATTATTTTCATCAACACTTGTCAACTTCTGGAGCTGCAAAATTTGTTTATTGGCAACAATACAAAGCTTACACAAACATTGTAGATGATGTTTGGGAACCACTTATTGATGCGTAGAAACTTGTACAAAAGCCCAGAGTATTACTTCTTTATCAACAGTTGCTTTCCACTTTTCAGTTACTCTGTAGTATCCTTCCCTTATTTTCTTCCTCGACGACTGCAATGCATAATAGATCTCCATGAGGATAAATCATTTCAAAAAGATGAAAATAAAAGAAACTACAAGATATAACTTAATACCGTGTCAAGTATAGAATCTATAGCTGGCCCTGACGACCGTGGCCCTTCACAGATATGCTTGGCCCGTGTATAAGATTTTTGAACTGAATCACCATCAATCTCCATTTATTCATCAATCGAACTTTATAACTAAGGGAAATGTTCTTACCAGACAGTGTGACATGTTATTTGGACCGTTAATCAGAGATGGATTCTTATTTTAATATGTGATGCCAGATTAACGGTTTTACAACATAACATGCCAAAGAATCATTAACCTTATAACTTAATCTATCACTTTGCACTTTGTAGAATTGAATAATGAAGGAAATACCATGGAAGCTGCCTTCATATGCATTGGTAGAGACCGGAATGCGAGGTGATGAGGCCTTGGCTGATTGTGAGCGTGGTGATGATGAGATCATGGCTGATTGTGAGAGTGGTGATGATGAGGTCATGGCTGGTTGTGAGCTTGGTGATGTCGTCATGGCTGATTGTGAGGTAGTAGTTTTGGGCGACTCATCGTTCCGAAGCAAGGAAGTTATAGCCCCTTTCACCTTTCCCACCATGCCAACATCACTACCAGGACTTGTCCTTGGACTCATTACATCGGATATCACTCTTGATAGTGCTCTCTCATCTTCCCCTGGCTCAAACTTTTGAGCCAAATACTCCTTCACAGAAACACCCTTATCCCATATTTGGTCACTGCTACCAGCATGCTTTCCACCTTGTGGAGCTGCTGGGGCTGACAAAGGTTGCGGAGCCTCTGAGGCTGCCAAGGTTTGTTGAGCTGCCTGGGATGAAGATTTTTTTGGAGCTGATACTGCTAAAGAAGTGTGAGGAGCTTCCAAGGATTCATTGTTTTCTGAAGGTGTTGAGGCCGCAACAGTGAGACCTACCTTTGAGGCAATGGCGTGGGTTGCATCAGCTACTGCAGCAGGGGCTGAAACAGTGAGACCTTCTATCTTTGAGGCAATGGCATGGGTTGTATCTGATACTGTGGCATAGGCTGGTCCTAACTTCTCAGTGACAGTTTCAGTTATTGTCTTCTTAGGACTAGGAGGCTTTACAGTTTCAGCTACTGACTTGCTAGGACTAGGAGGCTTCTTGGCCACAGTTTCGGTGACTGTCTCGTTAGGACTAAGAGACTTCACGGCTGCAGTTTCGGTTGCTGTCTTGTTAGGACTAAGAGGCTTCTCCTTATCTTGTTCAGCATCTTGATTGACACTACTTGGCAAAACATGCTTCTCAGAAATCACAGGAACTGCTCTGGGATGTAGTTTTGCGGTCTCCTTGTATCCCTCGGGTGCCAGCTCTGATTCATACACTGCAAATGAAATGAAACTATTAAAGAGGGGATCGGTGGACGATTTGGAAGCCACAAAGAAATGGTTGGCGTTACTCCCCCAAGGGAAAACAAGCAGAAAAAATTTAGAAACAGATATGTTATGCATAATGAAATCTTGAAGATACTAATTATTACTTGGGGCTCCTAGATATTCAGCATCTTGTTCTTCGTCTTCATGCTCATGCATGCTTGCACCCAAAGTGGGGGTGCTGTTATCACCTTACATATGCTTCTTCTTGTGACTGAGTGAGTGCCGCAGTTTCTTGGCCTTCTCTTTCACCTTAGTGAGAACAGATTTCTTGTGATGGTGTCCGTGATCGTCTTCTTGATCATGGTGCCCAAGCGGAGATGATGAGGATGAGGATGCTGGTGATGACTTTAAAGCTTCACCTCCTGGACAGCAAAAATGGGTTAGAAGAATATGTGTAATTATCAGAAAAGAGTTTCAGACACATGTTCTGGCAAGGCATGGTGCCTTGGCTGATTGACATGTTCGACACATGGCTATATACAACCGGTTACACTAATATTTTCTCATATCTTGGTGCGACCCTGCTACAATCCAGATATCTGTACCATGTTCACTGGTGGAGAAGAAGTTACAGTAAGATGGCATCGGATACCTCGAAGATAATGTTCCATAGTTGGGCTTGTACTGGTAGTAAGTTTTTTTGGCTCATGGGTGGTAGTAGTTTCAGAGTCGCCATGTCTTTGCACACGTTCAAGTTGAGCCATTGATCTGCAATTCACAATTGAGGGTCTCATTAGGCTGCCTCTGTTGTTGAGACAACTCTGATATTTGTATGGGGTTCTTGCATTTTCTTCCGGGGTTCTTGCCAAGACAACGAACAGGGTTCACAGGTCAATTGGTTAATTTGTTAGTGGGCTCCATTTTTACACGTGGCAAGAGAAGGTACTAAGTTTAGCTTGCTGCTTGCAACTCAGTAATGATTATTTCCTGAAATAGCGATTGACTAGGCCAGGAGCAACCATCTTCCTCTTCCTTAGCCTTGTGTCTTGGGACAGTATTGGTATTGCAAGAGAAACATGTAACTGATCCCATCATAATTGGATTTTCTTTTTTGAGGCTCTTTAGAAATTGAAAATGAAAGAAAGAAATTGAAAATTGGATTTCCTTCTGTCAAAAGCTGAAAACATAAACCTATCCTTTTTGTTGACTGCTTTTGCCGTTGTCCTCTTTGTTGACTCAAATCCAACTATATCGCATCCTCCAAATAGTTTTATGCATAACAATTTCAGATATTGTTTATAACCTTATGTTATTTATTTTTATTTTTTTGGTCAACAAAGATATCATAAAAGCCAAACGGCAAAGGCCCAAAGGGGAGCCAAACCCAACCAAACAAACAGGACAGACACACCAAACCAAAGAACTAAAAACATCAAAAGAACAAACCAAACGAAAAAACCACATAACAGAGGATAAAGCACTAGGCGGAGGGCAAGGAAGACCATCCCGAGATAAAATATGAACTAGAGAGGATGGAGGTCGCACAAGCCACGACTCCAAGCACATCCCCTTCCTGGCAAGGGAGGCAACGGCATCCGCAGACCAATTCGCTTCACGGGTCACCCATGCCCAATTCAGATTTGTGAAATAGGCTTTAAGAAACCTAATATCCTTAAGGATAGGATACAACTCCCAATTACTGGAAGAAACATCCCCTGAATAGAAGTAATAGCCACTTGAGAATCAGATTCCACCACAACATCAACCAAATTCAACTCTTTAGCTCTCAAAAGACCATGTTTCAAGGCCAAAACTTCAGCCATAAGTGGAGATTGGGCACGCATATGACATAATATGGATAATACCATTGTAAAAACGAATTAGTTTCCTCCAATATTTTACTACATCCAATATTCATTTTGAGATAATATAATAAGATCATCGGAACATAAAACCTATACACAACAAGGTATTAACTCAAACCATAATTACTAGTTACTAGTTATTAAATATCAAAAACACGAGATAAGCACAAGCCACAATCATTCTAATGGCATGTCAATTATCATGTCCCTCATACAAATGTCCTCTACATCATCGCCATCACCATCCTCATGACATTTTGCATATATCTTAAATTTTGGGTGAATTCTTTTTGTTTTTCATTTTCTTCTGTTCTTCATGTTCTTCCATTCTTCTTCTTCCGCTCTTCTTCTTCTCTTGTGTTCTTCATTTTCTTCGATCCTTCTTCTTCTCTTACGTTTTTCATTTTAATTCTTCCGTTCTTCTATTCGTATTCATTTTCTTTTGCTCTTTTTCATTCTTGCTTCTTTTGCTTAAATCTTGATCATCTTCTTTTTCTTTTCATTTTTCCATTTGTAATGCAGGTGAGAGCTGACCCATCATCCTCTGCATCTGGCTTGCATCCTCTGCCTCTGGCTTGTGACTCACCTCTGAGTCTATAACATCAGTAAAAATAAGAATATTATTATCTTGTTTGAATTTGCCTCAAAGTTCTTGTGGTCACTTTGCATTTTTCGTTGCCAAGATTTGGTCAGAGTTATTTGAATAGTGGAACCAGAAATAAAAAAAAAGCAGACGTTTATAGACACACTAGAATAGTAATACATGTTTTTCTTGTCCAAATTAATGAATGGAAATTCATTTGTTTCAGAGATTTTCTAAATGTTCTTGTTCTTTTTGGTTTCCTGCTACTGGATTTCATACCAACACCACCTTGAGACGATTAATAACAATTATCTTAATTTGAAGAGCATATAATGGAATTAGAAAATTTCATGGAGAAAGAATGGATATCATTGAATTGGGTTGGGAACATCCAGGTAACCAAATTGGTATAATTTTTCTTTTCTTTTCTTTTGTCGATGAAATGACAAATTATCGGAGAAAAAAAAAATTGGAATACCATGAGGGATTAACCAATATATCTCCCTGAAACCACGTTTATATCTATGGAAAATAAAATAAAATCCTGTGCGTTGTTTGGTGAAGCTCATGCTTGCTTCCGCCCTATTGTTACATTATACAGGCGGTATCGGGACATTTCTCATCTCCCATTATATTACAACAATGCAAAAACACAAGGCACCTATCTTGAGAAAAAAGGAACGAGACAAGCCGCTGTTCCAGAATTACAACTCATCTCTGGACCCTGCGCTTCTTCCATGATCAACATAAGATGCATAAGCCTTGATAATAGATTCGTAAATCTCGATTCCTTTCAAGTATTCGTCTTTGTTTAGAAACTGCAAGGTGAAAAAGAAAAATAGCATGGTCATATTACGCAATGTCAGTCTAGCTTATAAATTGAAACAGCAGAAAGATTAAATTCATAGACACTAAGGATGCAAATGCAAACACAAGAATCAAAATATCAACTTGGCCATTCACCTCGTTGTGGTCGTGAAGGAGAATAGGAGTGTTAGCCATAGGAGAGAATCCGATTGCTGGCAAACCCAGTTGCCGGAAGTAGCGAGCGTCTGTAGAAGCAGGGAAAATCTCTGGCTTACCAAGTTTCCCGTTAGCTTTCTTGACAGCTTCTTCTAGAAGGCCCCACCAGGGGTTTGAACTGTCAGTTGCCGTAAGGATTGGCCTCCCTGAGTCGTCAAGCACAGAAACCTTCTGCCCACGCTACAAAGATAGGTAGAGAAACTGGCATGTATTTTAACTATTCATATTTCATTATATGCGTGAAAATGTACAAGCTTTCAAAACTTGAAATAATTGGTATTCGGTAATTATACTTCCCACAGATGCAATGCACCTGAGCTTAGGGCAAATTTAACAGGACAACGAATCATAACGGTTCAAAAACCAGAAAGGAAAATGCTAGGGAGACCAACTTTAGATACCAACTTGTGTACAATCTCTCTAATAGAGCGTGGGACCCATTGTATTGGTGAGCTCCACTTCTATTAGAGAGACGGTACACAAGTTGGTATCTAAAGTTGGTCTCCCTAGCAT